TGTCACGCCAGTCTTCCAAAAGGGCAAGGAGGAGGAGCCAGGAAACTACAGGTCAGCTAGTCTTATCTCCCTCCCCTGGAAAGGTGATGGAACAGCTCCTCCTGGAGGTCCTCACTAAGCATCTGGAGGACAGGAAGGGGATCAGGAGGAGTCAGCATGGATTCACCAAAGGGAAATCATGCTTGACCAATCTGATAGCCTTCTAGGATGGAATGACTGGCTGGGGAGATGAGGGCAGAGCAGTGGATGTTGTCTCCCTGGACTTCAGCAAGGCTTTTGACTGTCTCCCATCACATCCTCATAGGTAAGCTCAGGAAGTGTGGGTTGGATGAGTGGACGGTGAGGTGGCTTGAGAACTGGCTGGATGGCCGAGCTCAGAGGGTTGTGGTGAATGGCGCAGAGTCAAGTTGGAGGCCTGTAGCTAGTGGTGTCCCCCAGGGGTCAGTCCTGGGTCCAGCCTTGTTCAATGTATTCATCGATGACCTGGAGGAAGGGACAGAGTGCACCCTCAGCAAGTTTGCTGATGATCCAAAACTGGGGGGAGTGGCTGACACAGCAGAAGACTGAGGAATAACCCCATGCAGCAGGACAGGCTGCGGGTTGACCTGCTGGAAAGACATGGCACTACTGGAGAGAGTCCAGCGGAGGGCTACAAAGATGATGAGGGGACTGGAGCATCTCTCCTATGAGGAAAGGCTGAGAGAGCTGGGCCTGTTCAGCCTGGAGAAGAGAAGACTGAGAGGTGATCTCATCAACGTGTACAAGTATCTGAAGGGGGAGTGTCAAGAGGATGAGGCCAATCTCTCTCTGTGGTGCCCTGCTACAGGACAAGAGGCAATGGGCACACACTGAAACACAGGAAGTTCCATCTAAACCTGAGGAGAAACTTCTTGACTGTGAGGGTGACAGAGCATTGGCACAGGTTGCCCAGAGAGGTAGTGGAGTCTCTGTCGCTGGAGATATTCAAAACCCGTTTGGATGTGATCCTGGGCAATGTGCTCTAGAGGACCCTGCCTGAGCAGGGAGGTTGGACTAGATGATCTCCAGAGGTCCCTTCCAACCTAAACCATTGTGTGATTCTGTGATTCTGTAACTGAACACACACACCAATCCACTCACAAGTAGAAGTGCTGTTGAAAATAAGGCAGTAAGTTTTCTCTTTGAATTTGAAATACAGTGTCTTCCAGGATATTTTTAGGTGAAGGGATGTGAAAAGCAAGTGAATGAACACTGAATGACACATTTTTTAAAAATCCTGCCTTACAAACAGAATATAAATCTTGTCAGGCTAGAAATATGTACCTAAAATTGTAGCATCTGAAAAACATGCAAACTGAGCTGTCAGCCAAAGAAGAAAATCTTCTGGGAACTGTTTTATAAGATGCAACTGCTTCTTGTAACTACATGGTGCTTTTAAAAAAGCTTTTGCAGCAAGCTCTGCGGAATACAATGGAAAAAATTCAGTGCTACAAAAAATTTAAGTTACTCCCTTGTTTTAGTATGATAGCAATGGCACATGCACCTCTGGGCACTACATCAAGAAATTAAAACTTCTAAGAACACGGCATGGGTGCAGTTGTTTTGAGTGCAGGCAGCTGGATATAAGCATGCTACAAACAGCATGCTTCAGGTGAAATTCAACTCTCATCAATTATCTTCTCTGTCCCCAAGAGGTACTGAGGAGTTTCTCTGGACTGGCCAACAGTTTGCAAAATCACTGGTCAATCCATGCAGCTCAGTTGCAATGTTCCTCTCAATTTGAATAAATTCCAGTAATCTTATATATAGATGGTGTACCACATATATTGTAAAGTCTATTTAAAATATTGACTTTTCTGTAGTCTGTAGGATTTTGCCTTAAAATGTTCCAAAAAAGTTTAACTTCAAAGGAAATCAGGCAGCCAAAAATTTTAAACTAGCTTTGGAGTTCAAGGCTGATACAGCCTTTACACATAGAACATCCAGTATGTGTTTCTATGATTCAATCAAAGACAACTTGTTGGACTGTTCACATTTTCTTCCACATACTGATAAAAAAATACTGAGAAAGAGTAAGTAGAAATGTCAATTCAAAACTATTAAAGACTCGTTCAAATTGCCAGTGAAAGTATCATGTCTAAACAAAATATTCAGATACAATGTAATATGGTTCTTTATTTTTTTTAAATCCAATTTGTAAAGGTCCCTTTTAAAACAAAACAAGAACAAAAAATCAACACATTTCAGAGGGCTTATCTCATTTACCATTTTCTTCCCCACTCTTCATTTATCATATCACAAAGCAGTAGCTTACATTAGTGCTCATATAGTGCACTTACATGAAGTTTGATTTGTGTATTAAGCTTTAAATACAATGTATTTTCCGTGAGCATAGCCCAAAGAGTACACAGCATTACATTTTCAAAGCATATGTTTAAAAAAAAGGACAATAAATGTATATCTAAGACAGTCAAACTCAAATATTTTGACTTGGCAAATTCTATAACAAGTAACAGTAATTTTAAACTGCATACAAAGCAGAACAGTGCGAACATGCCTCCAGTCTGTGAGCTATGGTAAAATATCAAGCGTACGTATAAAGAAGAGAAACAAAATAAAAATGCCACAAATTCAGAACTAACCTGAGGCACACCCAATTGCACCTGAACAAGGCAACCCACTTTCCCACTCGATAACGCAAAGAGCCCAGCAACAACAAGAAGCACTTCTACGCTACAGAAAGTGAAACATTAACTTTTCCAAATTTTGTCTTTGCATTTTTAAACAACTTGTTCAAAAAAAACTTAAAGGGTGATCATCTAACTATACTGAACAAATGCACAAATTAGAAAGTCAGAGAAGCTCCAGAAGATTGCCACTTTTCAAACCTTGCATAGTGATAGCTGGCATTGATATTGCTACCATAGCTTCAGCAGAAGATATGAAAAAGGAAAATCTTTACTTCAAAGTAATGCACATATGTAACATACAACTCATTTTCTTCACAAAATTGTTAATGGTTTTAATAAAAGGGAAAACAGTTCTAAAAAGGGATAGTGTTCACAAGCTTAGAAATAAAAAAATACAAAACCAGAACATTCCATAATAAAAAAATGAAAATAATAAACATTCCATCATAACAGCACCTATTTTATCACTAAATAAGCCCCACACATGCAACAAACTACAACTATTGTATAAGGCTGTCAAATTAAAGGTTTACTTTTTATATAAACAAAGTGTAAAAATAGCAGTAAGTTGCAATCTTCAAATTTAATGCTATGTGGGGATTTTGTCCCCCCAGATTCATTTGGTAGCAATTTCAATATGTATTTGACATAAAGGTCATTGATCTAGGAACCGTGATACAAATACATTGTGCCTAAGACAGTATTATCGTATTTCTGTTCAACGTTAACAGAATTGGAATGCTCAACAACACTACTAAGTTCAGGGATGCTCTCAGCAGTATCCCCAAAACCATGGTAGTGTCCATAGTGCAAAGTGTCTCCAAGGTCTTCCACCCACGAGGGTCGGTTAGATACACAGCTACTCGGGCTTCCATTCAGATGCAGAGATCCACACATATCAGTGGAACTATTCATGGCTTTTTCTGGTTCCTCAGTGCCATTACTGGTATGAATTCGATGCCTACTGGGAGAGGTTACTCCAGGAATTATTCCATTAGGCGTTAATGTTAAACATTCTTCATGCCTGGTATCCATTCCACTGAGCTGCTGTGCGGCGGTGAAGTCCAAATGTCCATTGATGGCACATCCATTTGTCAGTGCATTCAATATGGAGCTACTGCTATTCATATCTGCATTAAGAAATACACCTGTCACCAAAAATTAAGAATCAATCGAAATCCATCAAAACGTCTCCACTACACTCATTTTAAAAATGCTTCCATACACAGCTTTGAAAATAAATCTACCCTTTCCTTATTTATAACAACACAGGTAGTTCAAAGTAATGAAATCTGACCAGTAAGCGTGAAGCATAGATTCTAATGTTGAAAATGTAACTATCTATCTATGTTCAATGTGTAAATATACCTGTATTAATCTTTCCAAACACAATGTAACTTTTCAGAAAGTATTTTATTTAACTGCATGAAATAAGTGTAGGGTGGCAGACAACATTCTAGGTGTTTTGAAAAGTGGAATAAAAGACTTCTTTCCATCTTAACTGTAATGCCCACTTGGGATGAAAGATTATACACACAGAGGAACTTAGTATCTGTGAGAAGGATGAAAGGTTGTTTTTTATGTCAGTCATAAGTAAATTGTGGCTCTTTTTTCCTTTCTTGTGGTAACTCTCAGGGTACAGTATACACTGAAACAGGCCGAATAAACAAATGTTTATATTGGCGTGCTAATATAAAATACGTTTCAAAGTTCCTTTATTCAGAAAGTTTCCAATTTATCTAGCAGTCTGCTAGACAAGATATTAAGCAGAAAAACAGGTTTATATTTAATGATAAGGTTATAATAACATCTGTACAATCCACATGCAAAATGCCATATACAATAGCAACAGCAGAGTGCACAGAAGACTAAAAAAGATTAGTAGCAGGCAACAAAATGCTAAAAATGTGCATGCGAGAAACACTGACAACTGTTTTAAAGCAATTTCTCTTTTGAATTTAGTAATTATTACAATATTTTTATTTCCATAAGAAGATTTCATCAGTATGTCTGAAAGGTATGTTTTTGCAGTGGTGCCCAAAGTACTAGCACAAAAAATAGATGATATATTCTGCCTTAAAAATACCTACTGCTAAAGGACATCTAAAATTTAATCTATGTTGGTAAAGATTAGTAAGGCAAACCTAGAAACTACAGACCTATATGGTGACAGTTAAAGAATTTACATTCTGTTATTATCCCTGGATATATGCACATATGTTTACGTATACATAAAAGTATAAACCTATGTGCAGAACAGGATTATATTTACTGTTTTATTTCCAATTCAAGCCAGTGAGTAAGTCTGTTGGTAATGTGCCACATTTATAAAACACTGGGTTCCTGTTTAAGTGACACATGAGGAGTACCACTGTTTGACACAGAAGAATCAAAAGTTCTGGTTTTCTATTCGTCCTCTGCATGGATATAATTTGAGATACGGATTATGATACTGATACTCACATACAGTAAGATGCAACGCCAAAAAAAGTATCAGTTTTGGAACTCTTTGGATGTACTAACTGGAGTTTCCTGTTTTATCCCTACATTAAAGTAACCACATCAATTCAACTCACTAACCACAGATTCTCATTGAACGTGGGAAAACCCCCAAACCCATCAAGACATCAACCCTACAATCTCAGTGATGAAAGTGTACAAAACGAATTTCATATACTGTTTATTAACTGAAAAGTGCAAAATTTTAACTGTTTAAAAATAAGTTCTTATTAGGCTGGCTTTGTCAAACCAAATTTAATAAAAACGGCACTAGTTAGTTCATATGCAAAAGTAGGTAATGAATAGCTCTAGTGATAATTACAGAATGTTATTATTTGTTTAAAATTAGCACCTATAGTAATAGAATATATTTATGAAAGACAATCATTTTTTCCATAAACACTTAGTAATTATCACTGGAAAATATCATAATCTACTTTTAAAGTTCTGAATATATACATATATATATATATGTTATATATATTTATCCCTAATATAATAAAATACCTGTCCATTATCATTCCCTTTGGAGAAACTGATCTATGGTACAAAGCATAAACATTTTTATCACAGAACAAATTAAAGTAATAAATTCATTTCAAAATGTAATAATGCACTATCATAGTAACTCCGTGCCTTTACCTACCAAGGGCATGGAGAAGCTGATTCAAGACAGTTTTCATCAAAACTCTATACACACCCTGGGGTTACCAAAAGCATCTTGATTGAGCAGCCCTTAAAAAACTTAAAGCATTAATATTCACTAATACTACTAACATTATGACTGTTTCATGAAGGTCAGTACAAAATTCAAACACTGCTTTTCAAGGTACTTTAGTTCCAAACATCAGTTTTAAGACCTGCAATATCCAGTCTTTTATTTGCATAAAACAAAATCAGAAGTTGCTCATAGCAGGATCCTGCACGTATATTGTTGTGTCTGAGCAAATTTTGAACAGGCGTATGTCTAGACTACTCTTTATAGCATTTGTTGAACTGATTTGAATATAGTTTAGTTGCAACATACATTATTTTCAAAGCTTTATAAGCACTAGGATATGTTTTCCTATTAAATCTTCCTACTAGCAATTAAATCTATTTAATGGAAATGAAATCAATCATTTATATCATTCCTGAACTTCCTTTAACCTGATATCATAGCAACTGAAAACAAGGCACAACGTAATACAAGCCTCAGGTTAAAAGTGAAACAGCCATAGTGGACTTCTATTTATCTGAGAACTACCAATAACCCTTCTCTTTTACTGTTACAATATGTTGAATGAAACAGCTAATTTTAGATAACTACTAAAACCCCAAATAACGGGTGTTACAGCAGTACAATAGTTTTCAAGACTCTAGACAACAATGTGCAAAAATAAAGGATTAGGTTTTATATTTAAATTAAAAATAAAATGCATATTGATTCTTGCAACGACAAGGAGTTTGCATTGCAGAAACAGTGTATATTTCAATTTCTTTTGGTCCAACAGAACTACTCTCCTGTTGTTTGGTGTCTTCAACCATTTGAATGTTGTTGTAGTTAACAGGAAACTGTCCACTCCCACCTGATACAACAGCAAACTCTTTATCAACGTGCATATTGTCAGCATCATCCTCAACTCCTCCATTCATCATTGGTATTAAGCCATCAAAGCTATAAGCTGATTAAAAAAAAAAAGTTTAAGTTTAGTCACTGATGCACATTTGAAAACCCAGCCAAACAAAAAAGTTAAGTACATCTGTTATTATAACAAAAGCTTTTCACAGAGAAATACAGATTTTTCAGTTTTGAAAGCTTCTGACGGGTATATTTGAGCTTCTGAATGGGGGAATAAGATAAATAGTTGCACATTCATTTTTCATCTCCCAAGGTGGAGAAAAATGACCAATGTACCTATCAGACTTTGCACCTGTGTATCAAGCAATTATTAGTCTGATGTGCTGTGAGAATGAATAAAGAGTAATTTAAATTATCCACATGTAGGCTTTACAGCTACCACATCTGATAAACAAAAGCAGTCTCTACCTCAGAACTAACATCTGCTCTGACAGTCCAGACTGCTCCCTCTTTCATTTCAGGTTCCTGTTCCCAATGCTGCACACTCCATTCGTACCAGACTGCTTCAGGGACCTTCTCTAGATAGATCTCTCCTCAGACAAAAACTGTTGAGCAGTTATGCTGCTGTGGGAACTGCTTTAATAAGCAAGGCGGACTTGGCTTCACTAGCTCTTGTACCTTCCACCCAAGGCACTCCTCCAGGACTCCCCCAGCTGATCCTGCATTGTCTCACACTGATGTTGACACGCCTTTCTACACACTGCACATACTCTTAGCATCATGCTATAAAGATCTACTTTAGCAGACTGCAACACAGCTCTCATTACCTGAGGCATAACAGAAACAAGATACTTGTTTTTAAAGAACCTTAAGCAATTGCTAAAGTGTTTAAAGGCCGAAGAGATTACACAGGGCTTAAAGGAGACCTTAACCCTCTTATCAGGAGTTTTCAAACTACCCTCAGCTGGGACAGGAAAAAACAGTTTTTCTAGCTGCCTACAGGAGCAGGAAAGTGCAATGTCATGCTGAAGAAGTCAAGGGTACAGCTGGGCAGCGCATCCCCATCCCCACCCCACAAACAACTCCTAAAAGTGGCCACGTTGGGCCTGCGATTACTGGTATGGTCACCTGTTGTGTACAGCAAGTTAGTATTGTGCGTGCCATGTACAGGACACTGCAAAAGCCTATAGTGTCAAGGGCCACGAACTAGGTATTAACATTAGGATGGCTACACGCACACCTGTGTGATCAGTCCATTCTGTAGCAGTGAGACTGCCTGGTGTGCATCGTCGTCATATGTGACCATGTGCACCAACCTCCATTAACCAGCCCCAAAAGCAAGGATAAATTCCTGGACTACTTGATTTCACAAGAAATGGACAGAAAATCCTGCTGATGCTTTCAAGTCTAACGTAGAAAATATTTGGTACACATTTTGCATGTTGCCCTGCAACAGTAACGGCTACTGATTTTAATTGTGCTTCAGTTCACCTTCACCCTCTGGAGTTGCTTTATATTACTTTGGAAGAGAATAACTAGTTTGTATCCCAGTATCCTATATTGATATTACATAATTTTGAGGTAGATTTTTTTAATACTATGCACTATCTAAGAGCAGATACATGTCTGTACACATAAACAAAATTACATGTATATAACCCTCCCCCCCTCCATTTAGCCATTCCAAGACAAAAGGCAAAGTTTAAATATTTCTCTTACTCCAACTCTTACTGCTTCCAGTCAAATTGTAAGGGGCTTATACTGTGCCTAGTCACAATATGTGGTTTTTTTCAAAGCAGTGATTGTTCTGATTTGGGGTAAGGCCATCAAAATCCTACCCTTCCCAGCAAATACTGGTTGCCTATGCTCTCTCCATGTTTATCTCCTGAATCTGCTGTTTAGCTAGTCTTTAAAGTTAGAGGACAATATATCAGTGTGATTTTAAAAAGGAGAACATTATCACAAAATAAGGCATGTTTTCCAAAAAGGATAGGTAAGGACAAATATGACTTCTCAAAACTCACATTTGTTGTTTACAAAGTGCCTTAAGAATAGCGATAGAATTTACTCTCACTCCAGTAGACTTTCTGCATGGACGTGATAGATATTACTGATGCTGATGTCTTTTGAGGACAGACAGAGATCAGAAACTTTAGCTTAAAACAGTTTGAAAGAACCTCTTAATAACTGCAAAAACCTTCGAGCAAAGACAAGGCGGCCTTTAGCTTTGTTTACAAAGGTCTTCAAAGTCCTACTGGTAAAAAGTGCAAAAATTACCCACTTTGGTTAGACCTCTTGTCCTTTGATATCTCCAGAATTGCTTAGGAAACCTCATTCGCTTATACATACTGTCTATACTTGTTGGTTCCATCTAACTTTTGACTGCTGTGACTGTTTATGTTGACAGGTTACAGATACCGGGGCTATTTCATGGCAATATGTATCCTAAAAATAGCTAGCTCTGTGCCCTGTCTACAGATTTTGGGGAAATGGTATCTATTAACTAGTTTGGAGTCATTTTTTGAATCTAAGAGATTACTGGTCAGGAACTCAGAAGGAATAGCTCCTCAAAACAAAACATGTGTATCTTTGACTTCAAGCCGTGTGTCCGAGTAATATCCGACTATGAATTGCATGTACTGAAGACACCTTTCCTTGGCTCTGTTACGGGCATCTGTAGACTGCATAAGGTTTCTTATTCTATCCAGCTACTTAAGTACTTTACTCCTGAAAAGCAGTCTTACATTTAATTGTATAGGAACTCTTCTCCATCATGATGATATTTACAGTTTAGACCAATTACATAAGGTGGCAAATCCTGTTTATAATCAGCTATGGATTTCAATGAGGCTGGGACAGTCGAAACGTTAGCTGGAGTCACAGGCATCTGGATAACAAGTACTACAGAAAATAATACTGAGTGTCAATATTGATGTAATTTATGTTGTCCAGGTCATATTTGCCAACATCACTTCACTCTGTTTCCACTCTTGTATCTGGAATAAAGCACTCATTTTATTCAGCTCATTGAAAATCACTTTCCAACAAGTGACCTGTTAGAATAATAGAAACTTTGACTGAAGAAAGTGTCTTCAATGAAGATCTATGAAGTCCCTTTCCTGGTGCTAGAATAAGGATCAAGAAATGAGAGGCCTGAGCACAGAACGCTGGATTCCTTTTAATAAGAGTTTACTGGGAGAGAGGGAGCAGAGAACAGTATTCTCTCTCACACTATTCGAGGTGTTTAAAGATCTGAAAAAGATGTCTTTACATAGCCACCAAAAAGTATCTTTGAGGTTGCACTCTCATTATTGCCAGGAAAGGAAGAAACAATATCCTCAGCACATAAGGCTGAATAGGAATTCTTAAGGTTTATTTTAGTCTGACATGGTCCTATAATTCCTTAAAGAGTGGTAATGATCCTGGAAATTTAAAGTATGTTAACATCACAGACATAACCCTTCTTGATTGAGAAAGCTTTTTGAGCCAAATTTCTTTTACCCATCTCATCTAACAAACCGTTTTTGAAGCGTGAATTAATCATGACGTGGAAAACTATCATTAGAACACCCAGGAATCTTTGTGAATGAATGTAACATTACTTGGGTACCCTGAAAAAGAAACCGAGGAAAGAGCAGAAGCCAGTTCCAGCTCCTACTCTTCAGGAAATTATCCTTGGCATCATGTAACTTCAACACTCTCTAGAACTACAGATCTGGGAACACCCCAAGATGATGACAGCAAGAAACAGGATCTTGTGGCACATGTATACTCTTCAAAGAATGGAATAACCATAATCATTTACTTGTTTTATTAATATGCAATTTAAATATGTAAGCAAGTTTGTCAATAATACTCAACATCCACTCTTAACTGCTTTAAAATGTTTATTTTCCTTTCTCGGCAACAGTATCACCCTTCCCCTTTTACCTCTGGGGTCTCACCTTCAGTTCTAGCCTTCTTTACTCCAGCAGACTCCGTATCTTCAAAGGATCTCTTTCGACTTGTCCCACCACTGAATGGATTGGGACCTGCAATCTGATGAACCCCATTTAAGGTGCCATTGCTATAGAAACGATTCAGGTGACAATTCTGGAGGTTCAAGAGAAACTGGGCACATTCTTGGAAGCCCTGGGTATGTGCAAGGTCTGCTGCTGTCAGGCCACTGGCATTTCTCAAGCTGTACAATACAAAGACACTGAATTACACTCATTCATCAATCTAGCCTGGCTGCTGCTGCTGCTCTTACTGACTAACTATCTGTTGGTGATGAGAGAAAACATACACTTAGCAAATTTCCATTAAGGAATTAGTTATCAATCTTAGTTTTATAACTAACTTAACTTTTCGCACATACATCTGGCTTCTAAGCAAAATTTGGGAGACAATACACTTTCAAATAAAATCAATATACTATGTGCCTTTAAAAATCATCTTCCTATTTAAACTTCTCAAAACGCTTTATTCTAAAATAGTCTGAAGTATCTGATCTTTACACAAACTTCAGACTAACTTAAGCCTTGATTTTTACCATCTTCTGCAGTTTATTTTGCAATCTATTTCTTTATCTTGAGTAAAAGATTAAATACTCAAACAAACTTAACATGACTTGGCAATTGTCCATGGCATTCTGGTTTCTACGGTAACAACAACATCACTATTCTTCCTAACAATAAAATAGATACATATATAGAAAAAGATAGATAAATATGCTATATTTAATTATGCTTTGCTTATACATTTTTTCTGCTTTGTTTCTCATTTCAAAGTGTGTGACATCATAAACACTGAGACTTGCTTTTTTATTTGACCCAAGACTTTTCCATCTAAGAGGAAAAACAACACTGGATTTTTAATATTCCAGTATATCTAAGAGATTAAGAATGAAATCAGGTAGGATGTTTAGAGCTGTAGAGGTTTATTTTGAAAGAGTGCTATATCAAAAACACTTACACAACCATATCATATGTCTGTGCTCAGAAATACAAACACTATAACTTCATAAGGAAGCGCGTAAAAAAAAACAGAGACAAGAGGGCTAGAAATGACAAAACTAGATTGTGAAGCAAAAGATGCCAGTAAATCTTTCCTAAGTTTGTTTCTCCTCTCCAGACAGAACTCGTCAGAAAAGTGAGGTTTTTTTCTTGGCTTCAGTAGTTTAGACAAGTAAGTTACTTAAAAATCCAGAAACAGACCATCTAACAGAGTAAGAATTTAGAAGATCAATAGACCTGACTCCACTGTTGAAACTCACATGAAATGCAGAACTACTCACTCCAGCTCACATGAAAAAAACAAAGTCCATCTTTGCTTCCTAGAATACTGCAACTTCATTGCTATTAAAAAAAAGAGCCTAAAAAATCTTTATAAATTGACTGTTATAGCAAGACTAATTCTATAAATGGATGCAGTTGGATTACATAAAATTTGGAAGGGTAAGTGGAGATACTATGGAATCAGAACATTCATTAACTAGGGAAGCTGAGGGTAATTTAATTCCATACTAAAATATTCTAAATCACCACTGTCTTGGACTACCAGAGCAGCAACACAGACTGGTCTAAAAATTAAGACTTTTAAAGAGACACTGAAGAAACTAGAGTTATTCAGTCAAAAGAAGTGAAACCCCAAGGTAGAGGTATTAGTTTCAAATACATAAAAAGCACCTGCAAAGAGACTAAACTCTTCTGTGTGTCTGGTGCAGACAGTAGATGAAATAACGAGATTAACTAAAGCAAAGGATATTCTAAGTAAGACATAAGGAGAGTTTCAGAGTATAAGGTTAGTTAAGGTTGCTGAAACTTCAGAGGTTTTTGTTTCCCCCTTTTTAAGAACAGATTGTAATTTCACAAATTTTGCAAACATAGTCAGCCCTTTCTGGTGCTGAACTAGATACCATGTTGAGGTCCCTTCTAACCAATATTCAATGCTCTTTCAGTAGTTCTAGTTTACTTTTGCAGCATACAGACATTACACAATGCAACAGGAAACTTAAGTAGAAATTTCAACACATTCTTCTTGAACGAGAATAGCTCAGTTTTCTCAAATCTGTTTTTAATTTGCTAGTCTCAAAGGATGGTGAAGGAAATCTAAACAAGAGCAAATGAAAGTTAGGCTAAGATTAAAAAAACCCACCACAACACAATGTTGACCGACCCCCTAATTTAAGGGGAGTAATTTAAGCAATTACTAAGGAATAAATAACATTATTACTTAGCAAATGTTATTGAACATTATTTTTGAAGAGTGGACTGCAAGACAGACTACAGTTTTGCTACCATTTCCCCAAAGGAATGTTGACACGAGTTGCTGGAGGCATTTGGAGATGAACAAATTAAGATGCCAGTGTGCAATACTACATGGACAAATTCTGGGAAGGGAAAGTTATTTTCCCAGTAATAACAAAAATAAGCTTTAAGTTAGTGTTTGTCAGATATTAAAAAGTAAGGAAGCTTTAAAAAAAGAGGTATTTTTATATCTCTGCCCTTCCCTCCCTTCCTGAACAGATTATTCTTAACAAGTAGACAAACGCTCCCTTCCAGAGTATTTTAAGTACTGCAGAGGGTTTCAAGAGATACGAGCATGTTGGATATAACATTCTTGATTCAGAGAACTTAGAAAGACATCTCTCAAAAATCTGAGTCTGAATTTAACTCATCAGTTCCAAGGGAACTTCCTGTGTCATGAAGATAGTAAAGGAAAAAAAAAAAAAAGAAAAATACAAAGTTAAACAGAATAAAAGGGGATTAGAGGATCTAGAGGACTATAGGTGGCCAACTGCTACTTATCGGAATACAACTGTTAAGTTCTGTCTGCTTTCTCTCAGTGCAAATACTAATCTGAGTATCTTTTCACTATCTAGTTGTCTACTTCCATGAATTTAATAGAAGCCTGAGTTGCTCTGGGACGTCAATCCTTTCCAATTTCAACGAAACTGGCTTGTATTGCAGCATTACTGGGAAGGAGAAAAGGAGAGGTGGGCAAAGACAGCACAACCTCATAAGTCTCACTTCCCTAGAAAAATAAAAAAGACCTATTCAACATAGCTGCTTTTTTCTAGCCTTCTCTAGGAGGAAAATCTGCCATGAAAACTGAAAATGGTGGCAAAAACTAGCCATGCTATACTACGTCATCATAACAAAAAGCAAGTAATCCAAGAAAAAAAAAAAAAAGGAAACTCAGTCACATGCAGAAAAGGAAAGAAAAAAACTCTAGCACATATTACTCAGTCTTAGCAGACTGGAATAGTTTTTCAAAATAAATTCATCAAAAAATATTTCCAAAATGTTATTAGATAAATGAGAAATACCGCCACCACTGTGAGGATTCTGAGCGTTTATAAAAAGAAAAATACTCTTACACAGTCTTCTAAAAGTCCTGGAGTACTTGAATGGATTTAAAAGCTAGGCTGTTTATTACACCTTTCTTTAAAAACACTGATCTGCACTTTGAGTGGTAAGTTTGAGACTACCCTTTTACAGCAGCAGTTACAAGGGACTGGGAACCTCTCTCTGATTAAATCCTTTCAGAATCTGCAACACATCGTCTGCCTCAAATGCTGCCAGTATTGGAGATTAAAGTAGCCAGCTCAGCTTAGTCCCTGAGTTAAGAATACAAAAGCCACTGCTGCAAGAGACTTCATTATAGGACTGAGATTAGAAATGGTTCACTGCACTGGTCTCCTCTCAGTCTCATGTGCAGTCAATCCCCTATAAGCAGTCTGGCCCTGTGTCAGTCTTTGGTTATGAATCACAATTACGTAAACTGACTATCAAGCTAAAAGGAGGAGCAGCGAAACTGACTCTATTGAGTGAAAAGATGAGATGAATCGAAGGTTCAGCTGGCTATTAAGTAGATTATATGATATGATATGGACTACAAAGCTAAAAAAAAAAAAATCAATGAGTAGGAAATTCAAGGAGCTAATCAGTATATGTAAGTAAATTTTCAACTACTACAGCTATTAGAGATGTCCTTTGAAAGATATTTCTCTTCATTCCCTATAGCTCCTTATAAAAATGTTTTGACTAGCTAAAAGATACTATAGCAGAAAATAACCTCAAGTGTGGAAAAAGAGGGGGGGGGGGGGGGGGGGGGGATGTAAACCTTCAGACAACGTGGACAGAAATATCTCAATTTCATATGTCCATCAAATAAGACTTTTTCACCCATCCGCTGTCTTACGTTAAAATCCCTTCAGTGCCAGTTTTGATTTGATTTTAACCCTGATCTTGAAGCACCTAAAGGTCAATGGAAGCTCATGATACACTAATGGATATTAAATCTTAAGGCAAGCCGCAATTTTGTTGCTGCTAATCATACAGTAAATATGATAGCTCTACTACTGTGACTGTATTGCCTAGAACGTAAAAATGAAAACACGGAGAAGCATCCGGAAAAGCTGTTTCAAAAAAGATACTGCAGTTGAGGACAAGGTTATATTCCCTTTCAGGGTTTTTCTCTAAGCTGGTTACCTACCTGAAACAAGACTAGGCAAGTACCAAGCATCACAGACTGGTATTTTTCAAAGAAGGAGATCTTACTGAGTAGCTGCCAGTAAGTACGGAAGGCGAGAAAGGATGGAGGCACGTCATATTAAAGAAAAAGAAAACTAGCCTAAGCCTTGGAAAGTTACACGCATCTTAAGATTAAGTCTTCTGTTAAATAGTACTCATTGATGTGGCGCAATATTTTGTAAAGGTTGGCCTAGTTACTGTCAAAACATATGCGATCCAAAAATATAACTCCCCCTCTCTTTCCAGTAAGAAAAACAAGTCAAAAAGCATAAGACACCTTTGAAGGAGATCAGTGCACCTACAGAAAGTGATGGAGAAACTGAAGAAAGTACATGGAAAACTATAGCTCTGAAAATAAAATTTTTTTTGGCATCTACTCCAAATAGGAGTGTATGTGAAGGGCTGAATTGACAAACATGAGAAAAATCCCTGACTTACCCAGGACCTAAATGTAGTTTTTGTTAAGTGGTCAGAAAGCCAATTCACGCCACGCTTAGAAAACACATACCTCGTATCATTTCCAAAGCAATTCACATATTTGAAAGAAGGAATGCGTGTTGTCAAGATTCTTTCATTTGGGAATATTTCTTTTCGCTTTACAGTTTATTATTTTCATGCAACTGTTATTACTGCAGAGAAATTAGAAACATGAAGCGTTGTATTATTTACCCTCAGCCTTCTTTGTAGGCTAAAATCCAGGAGTTGGGAATGTTAAAGATGTATTATTCTCCTTGAAATACAGAAGTATGAGATGCTACCTCCGGATCAAAAGAAAAAAGACAAATGTAACTGAAAAGATACATTTTTTTAAATTAAAAAAAAAAAAAAAGGAAAAGTTCAGAGAAGTCTGGATACGGAAAAGTAGAAGTAGGTGATCTCGAAGTTCCTTGCCGGATGACATTTTACATTTGAATTATTCTGTAGTGACAAGTGTTTTATAAATAAACTCAGAAACATGTACTGTTTATTAAGAGTTTAAAATCTGACTTTTTGCAAATACATTTATTCATATACCTTCTACAGTGCTTAAAACGACACTCTTATAACCCATTTTCTTCATCCATCAAGTGATGTCCACAGGCGGAGTCTTCAAAACTTTTGACTAATCTTGGTATGAAGAGGGCTTTTTGTTTTAATTCCATTTTTCTACCTTCAGTTGACATCATCACAACGCCCATTTTAAAGGCCCAGATCATCTGAGAGTCTTGGTGTCAAATTAAAGCAGCTATTAAAAGGATACTGATGAACCACATGCATAGATAATTCCTTCTGAAATGCTTTTAAAAAGGCTGACTGAGGGTCTGTCTAACTCAATTATTCAATTATTGCTCAAAAAAAACCCCTCATTATCTGACTAAATAGGAGCAGTGTATAGAAAGAGGTAGATAACTCTCAATTTAGTTTTAGTTAAGCAGTATTCTTTTTACTATTTAAATTAATCACAGCTTGTTGCTTTGCAAAACGCTCTAAAGGAAGAAAAATATGAGGCAAGCTCTCAGAAACATGCAAGATACTTTCTATAACTCGATCACGGTGGAAGTAAAAAAAAAAAAATTAATCTGAAATTGTTTAAACGTAATTACTTCTTGTAAGAAAGATTCACTTCAGGATAACTTACAAAATTAGAAGGATCTGTAGAAAGAAAAGATAGACTTGTGCGTCTCACAATGAATTTTAAATTATACTGAATTTACTTAGAAAAAATGTTGATTCTAAGTTGTTTCAATTGTTCGTATTTGTTATATTTATTGGAGGAAAAAGCAAGTATATTTCTATGCATCTTTACTATCTATGTACTACTTGAAGTACACTACCTTCCACTTATAATGTCACATACTTTGAAAAATAAAACAAATGTTTCTATGAAAATTCAACATTAAATTTTTGAAAAAAACATTTATATATGTAGAAAAATCCCCTAAACATATAATTTTAAATAGTGATTACATCACCTACAGCTTACTGTGTTTTTGTTAATGCCATGCGACAATATAAGAAAATAAACCACAGTTTTCGTATATCAATGTAATATCTGTTAAAAATACTGATCTCAACTTATCTATTGTTAGTTTACAAATAAAAATGTAGATAACTGTAAATTAGGGTAAGCAAAGCATGCAAATCTATAGATTCTATATCTGAATTCCTAGATTAGCATTAAAACCAATCACCGCAACAAATACCTCAACAGTATGCCTTGTGTGCAGAAAGGAAGCGATACTGAACATTCAATGCCACAACTGTAAGGTTTTCGGAGAAGCACCTGTGGCAGTTTCAGCAGTTTCTATATGGAATGCTCCCCCTTTCTAGGATTACTTGAAAAAATCAAGTCAATTCGAATTACGTAGCTGTAAAACATTGACATGTGTAGTTTTTACAGTTTCAGAATCTTCTGTTTGATTTAAACGGGCAATGGTGCATAAACAGGAAACTTATATCATAAGGGATCACATATTTGCAGGCAACATTAAGATTAAAAGTTACATTAACATACATAAAGTGCTGTAGCACATTATTCATTATGTAAGCCATTATCATGTGACCACCTTCACAACAAGACACTAAGCCTTTTATGCCTTTTAAGCATTATTACTTTCATCCTGAAACCAATTTGTCAGTTCTTCACTGAAATTTATACAGAATGGATTAAAATTACTGGTCAACTCATGGCTTCAATTACTTTAAATTTAGTACGCTGTATTTCAAAAGAATTAGTAACTATTCCTATACAAAAATTAGCAGATACAAGGATTAAAACAAAACAAAAGAAAGAAAAAAAGATCAGAACACTAATATGCCCACAGTGAGAAAAACGTTTCCTATAAACATCAGTATACTAGTCTAAAATTTCTAAAGCAAAATGTTTTAAAAATACTAAACTTTTAAGTGTTTTAACCCTTTGGTGTCCAAATACAAAAATTTTGAAATAGTTGTTTTAGAACATACTTTTTTCAGATACCAAGAGAAAAAATGTTCTTAACAAATGTGCGTCACTGCTGGGGACAGATATGAACATTCATGCCAGGATTACGTTCTGGGCATCTACAAAAGCACAAGTTGGTGCCAAGTTTTTATTTCACAACAAAACATGTGGCAGATGAAATTAAACTTTCTACTATGGTCAAGAATCTTAGCATCTCCTCCAAAATCCTAAGGCGAGTATACTAGAAAGAATAAAGCTCTTCTTTGTGAAGTTGCTTAGTTAACACCAAAATCACGTTCACTAAGAATTATGCAGCTATAACCAGCTCCCAGGTACTTCAACTCACGTTTGAGCAAGTGCTAGCGCAAGAAGGAAATCATTGACTATGGTATGGAACATTAAAATACCAGAATCATCAGAAAACATCAAGGCTCTAAGTAAAGCTGATATTGTCAAATGTTATAATACTTTATACAGTTCGAAGGTGCTGAATTTTTGTTTGGTTTAGATGGCGACTTACTTCTGTATCTGCTTTCCAATTTAATGCTTTAAGATAGACCTTAAACAGTGGATTTGGATCTTTAATTTCTCATGTAAAAAATGATTCATGTTTCCAAGTAAACTTCTGCCTTAACAATGTACCACTATCTAACTTTGTCTGGTAGAAACAATCAACAAGATGTTTTAATTTATACTGAATTACATAAGAAATGACTCCTAAACACAGCTCTCAAAAAAGAAATTATGAAGGATATGGCAACTATGACAGTCTGCTTGCAACACAGCATAACAGAAAAGACCTTTCCTATTAAAAAGAAAGTACCGATTCCCTAGATAGCGAGCAACAATGAATTTCAAATAAGCGGCCTAGTAGTGCAGCCGCTTTAAGTTCAAAGACAACAGAAAAGAGTTAATAAGCCATTCAACCTTATGAAAATCAGAATTATCACTGTTGCTGCTATTATGCCTCTAGAAATAGATTAGGAATTGCAGATAAAGTCGCTTACAATGCAGAAAGTGTTATGGAAGGCTATTAAGGAAAAGTTCTGAGCAAACCCTGACATGAAAAGATAATAGCCTTGCAATGCAGATCCTGCCAAGATGCCTCTAGTAACAAATACAGTCAGTGCATTTCTCTTCAATGTATTAACTGAAAATCAGCGACGACCTAGGATTAGAAAAATTAAGAGAGTTTCTATCAAATGTGCCAGATATGAAAGCAAGATAAAATTCATGAGAGCTGGTAAAAAAAAGTAATGGCTTGGAAATAAAACTGAACAACTGAGGTAAATGAACTTCAAGCGTCTGTTTTTATACTATTAGGAAAAAAAGTAAGAAAGAAAGGACTAACAGTATCAGATGGATTTATTATTTTCCAGTAATAGGCATCGAGACGATGACTTCAAAATCACATAAAATTGTATTTTTGCAACAAAAAAACCAAATGTAATTATCTTTTGTTCAAGTAGATAAAAGATCTTTTGCATTAAGAAACTAGTAAAGTGCATGAAAGTGTTGTAAATGAGTTTAACAGAGTTTTTCTCAACTTAAATTTTCTTTTAAATTGAGAGAATTTTATCTACCATGTATTAGCAACATCATGTAAAACAGAAAAAAGAACTGCTCTGCAACAGAAAAGTATTTCTCTTCTAGAACATGCTTTCAAAATTTTAACTGCTGACGCTATCCCAGGGTTTGTTAAGCTTCCATGCAAGGAGTTTTATGTCTCTTAACCTGTAGCACAAGTCACACATTTCAGAACCTTCTCTGATCAACTTGAACATGCTACAGACCATGCTAGAACTGCCTAATGTTTTTTGTCCATATTCAAAGACACTAGCTGAGCTATGACCAACTCCACTGAAAAGTATAAACTAGAATAGCAAATAAAACCCAAACCAACCAATCTACCTGCAAAGGTGAGAACAAATATGTTATAATCAACAATTCTCCAGTCACATATCCAATCAAAAAATCAACAGATCAAGCACAGCACCCATACAGATCATCTCCAACAATATCTGAACTAACCATCAGAACTAGTCAGACAATTTATTTGTGAACATACTGCATCCTTGTTTCTGCCACGGCATCTAACATGCTCTACCCATCTTCTACTTTGTTAACACCTTGATTTCACTACCTGACTTAACTGCACCCCACACCCATCTTTCTGTTGCAAGAAACAGCTTATTTCACAGAAAAAATAGCCTATCTTAAGAGAAGCTGCACAGTGAACATAAGCACAATATCATCTGAGAAGGCAGATCACTCCCACAAAAAATCCTACAATTCCTGTCAGAAATACGAGTTATCTTTTAAAAGTCCTGATAACATTTCACTGTCCTTTATCCAGCTCTCCTGGACTGAAGAAAAGCAAAGAATCAGTGCTATAAATCACAAAGTCTCATTGCTAATGAATAAGCTTCCCTATATCAAGCTGACCCATATCCTGGGTCCTTTCTTGAAGAAAGGTCACAAAATATCACTGCTTTAATGAAGGATTTAACTTTCTCCATAAAAAATACAAACCTCTCACATTCTTTTCTCCTTCTGAAATGATGTCAGTAACCACTGCTGTTATTCTACCTCCATTGAGAATAATCCACTGTCAGACGCAGGAAGCCAGCTGCGAGAGTTTGCCTCAGCTTCCTACAACTACTCAAAACAGCTATGGCTGTGAAAACTGTCCTTTTCCATCCTAGTTTACTGTAAGACTGAGCCTCTCTCTTTCACTCTTTGACTTACCAATTATCCATATATGTATGACTGGCCTCAGTAGTCCCAAGTATTTCCATGAAACTAATCCAAACAACTTATGATACTGCCTAACTTCATGGTCACAACCTCCTACAAACCACCAAAGTTCTTCTACAATCCTAAGTGAAAACAAACATGCAAAAAAATAGCAAGCTTTACTTTTAATTATTCTGAAGAAGAATGAGAGTTTCACTATATTTATACTGAAACATACAAGCCACTTCAACTTTGCCTTTCCATAGGAATTAATGTTTGATGGGAAAGGAAGCCACTACCCTAAAACCTATAGCCTCCATGATGCAGAATGTAACAATACTAGTGTGAGGGCCGTAAAATGCTTATCACGTACAATGAAACAACGACAAAAATAAAATCTACTCACACGTTTTCCTCAACTATCCTGCACTGTCTAATAATACAACAATATTAATTAATCCAGCCATTTAACTGCTATATGGAGAACTGGCAATTAGGTTTGCAAAAGAAATGATCTATGAAGTGATCTTCGGAGTTTGAAAAGTATTAAACATTACAAAAATATTAGTATACTAATAAGTATGTAAGAGCCATTCGATTCAAAAAGTTATTAACTGCTATTCATAAACAAATAATGAGTAAGAACCGGAAGCATTACCCTCAAGACGAGATAAATGACCATAAGGAAACAAAGTAGGATGTTGATTCTTCTACACTGAATCAGTAAAACAGTATAGCGTCCAAAGTAAAAAAAAATACAGCAATGGCATTTCGAATCATGAGTATGTAACACCAGAAATGAGTTGCGGTTAAATATTAGAAGTTTGGTAGTTAAGTTACCTAGATAAGAAAAACCATACAAATGCTAAAAAATTATAGGTACCTGCTAAGAGTTATTTTAAAAGCAGGAAGAAATCCAGACACATGCAAGAACATCTATTTTCCAGGTAATAAACAACTCAACTAACAAAGGAGATAGCCACACCCTGAGACCCTTGAAGAGAACAGGCCATAAGAATTTCCCTTCCAGACAGCAGAGGAACTGACGGTTTGTACAACAAAGGGAATAACCCCTTTTTAAAGCTGTCTCTATGTCGTTTTGTCATCACGAAGCCTACGTATCACTCTTCTGTCTGTTCACTGCAGATGAGTAAATTTCAGAAAGTCAGGAAGTCATAAAAGTACAAACAAGAACAAAAGCTGAGAAATCAGTAGAGGTCATAGTTGACATCTGAAACAGATTTTACTTCAACGAGGAAAGTACTACAAGAATTTCACAAAGGGCTGATCCAAAGGAACTAATGAGAATCTGCATTAGACAAATTCCTATGTTACAGGGGTGGGGAGCAGTTTTGAAGAAGAAACAAGGAATTACGTTTGTTTTTAAATAATGCAACGCAGTTCAAGCACATCAACTGTAAAGATGAATTAAGCCAGTGTCAAAGAATTAGAGAAAAGTTCTTATCAAAAAAATAAATACTGCAGATGCAACGTTTCTGGCAAAAGGAGTGAATGCTAGCCAGCTTTAATAAGAAAGTGGCTGAAACGTTTGCCTGAACAAGAAGCAGATGAATATCACAATATGAATCTGTCATCTGGTAGAAACAGATGTACTGGTATATTTATTCCAGTATGTCAGTTATTTTCCCAAACCTGAAGACCAGAGTATCAGAAATCAGAAAGGAAAATACCTCTTCAAGACCCTGTAGCATCCCATCGTGGTAGACAAAGCTATTTTTTCTAAAAACTTTAAGATTTCTGCCTAGCAAAAATAACAGCTTTCCTATCCCAGTACTCAAGCATCTTAATCGACATAACTCTGTAGTAAGCAAGTAACAATGGTATCAAGAAAGGTCCTTCTTATTTTACCAGTACAAGCAGAACTGCTTTTCATCAAGATTTTCTGTGTTCATTCAGATGGATACATACTAAGCCACATCCTGACCTTAAGTTATCTCTCTCCTCTCTCTATCCCAGGAGAATACAGATGAAACAAAAGTAGCATTTGAAGCTTCTCTCCCAGCTCTAGACTAAGTCACTAAGGAATATGTAACTGTTCAAATGACAGTTGCAGAAGAATTTTTATTCACAAATAAGTAGACATGATGCACAATTGAACTGCATTAAAACACAGGCATGAAATGAAAGAAAACAGTTCAAATTACTGTAATTAACAGCTGCATCTGCTTAATGTTTTTCTATTTATTCAACAATGTTCTAGGCTTATATTTGAATTTTATATTTATATATAAGCTCTGATGTAATATTTAAAATTATATAATATCCAGTATTTGAAAAATAGCGTGCTAAAAGAGCAAAACAAAACATGGCACCAAGACGGCTTTACCTCTGCAGAGAGCTGTGGACACTTGATTTGTCACCATTATAAATAGTACAAAATCAACCATACATAAATTGCATCATTATGCCTTTTTAGTGAAAATCCAGCAGTTACCATGGATACTTTTAAAAGGTACTATCCACATTAAAAAGTCAGTTACACAGCAAACCTTTTCACTCATATGAGGACATTGTGACCACCTGCTTCCCCCTCTTCAAGGGTCCATGAATACCATAGTTAGTGGAGTAACCATTTTTATGGCTGTTGGACATACTGTGCACAGAATATGCTTCAGCTAAAATGAGAAGGTAAATACCATAAAAGAAATCAAAATATTTTCACTGGGGTACAATTATTATTGTTTAATATTACTAAAAATTTACAAAGGAATAGAGACCCAAATTCTCTCTCATCAATTAGGAAAACAATGCAATATTTAATGAAATTTAGAGACTGCAACATATTGTTTTTCTCTGTAAAAGCAAAAGACTAACAAGCCTGCAACAGAGTAGAACAATTTAAACGAGGTAAATTTATTCAAACTAAAATTCTTACTTTTATCCTTACTGGACTATTGTCAACATTCTTTGGCTTCCACTGTAACCACATGAGTGAATAACGTAGGGACACAGTAAATGCTGATATCAAAGATCACGGTAGTCCAAGTTATTACATTTTAAGAGCAGTATTTCAATATCACTTATTAAAAAATACATTTGTTGCAATATTACACTGCTGACTACTACTATTAGTGTAATAATGAAATGTGAACATCCCTGTTTTACTTTTAATGTGAAAATAGTAATGGTGCACCACTGTTTACTATATATTTCAGGTATAAGGAGTATACTTGACTATTTGCAGTCAAAAGGGATATTCTCTGCATCTTCATGTAACTACTTTTTAATACCATAATAACTGTATAGAGAAATACAGAAGAACCTGGATTAGAAGACCAAAGCCCCACAAAAAGTCAAATTCACCATCAGTACAGATCAGCACACCAGTTCTGCTGATTAGTGCTCAGTTCTCTATTTAATAAAATTCTTGCCTTGGTCCTACATAGTTAATTATCATTTCAGTTAAGATATACTAACTAGAACTCAAAATATGGATGACACCCCGTCCTTTTTTTTTTCTCCTAACAAAAGCCACAAAATAAAGGAGATAAAATTTGCAAAGGTTCTACGTTTTCAAGATATTACAAAATAATCAAGAAATCAACAGAACCATTAGATATGGGCTCAGTTTTCAAACTTGGATGATTGAAAATTAGTATCAGTGCCAAAAGTATACACACGGATTTGGCCTAATTTAAAATATGGGGCCTGACAACTACAGTCGATGGAATAACTCGTGACCTCAGTCAAGTCAATAGCTATCTCTTACTCAGGTCATGGGGCTAGAATTTCACCCAGTATTAAAACTATTTGGTGAAAAGTCCTGAGCCTCTAAATGATGAAAAATGACTCTCTCCTCCAGCCTACTGCATTGGCATCTTTGATGGTAACATTTCCTGGATAGGATTTTATCTACCTATAAAAATCATGGTGAGTGTATGCTACTGTAACACAGACGGAACTTAAAGTTACAGAATTGAGAATCCAAATGATTTTCTGCTCAATAAAACTGCTATAAACCTGAGCTATTCCTGCCACATTTTACATGAGGAAGTGATCAAAAATAGCTTTAGTCAAAGGCTGGTATCATCCTCTTCCAATTTTTACCAAAATGTTTTCCCTATGTCTTCCAAGTATGATGTTTAAAAAACCAAAAATTGAACTCCATAAATTAAAGTTGCAGCCATATCTCCAATCTCAGGTACTCAGCTACTTATTTTGAAAGTCCTGCGGGATTTAACACTTTCTCATCCTACACTTAAGTCACTCATTTCAAATTGTTTATGCCATTCTGTAAGTTCTCTTTCAACTGGATGCTTTCTGAAAATTACAAGATTACATACTAATTGATGATGATAATTAAGGTTTGCTCAATTCCACAGTAAATTTAAATCCAAGTTTATCTTAAGTGAATGTAAAATGGGAATTTATAAAATTAAGATTGATTTCATGAAAATTGTCAATAACTGACCTCGACAGCTGCATAAATTACTTCACTGTCATTTTTTTAATGAAGCAATTTGTTCATATAAAGTAATTTGCTCATTACAGTTAACTTAAAAGTTACTCTATTTCCTGAATACTCTATGATACCACTGAAAAAGTTAAATTTTAAGGTAGATTTATTAGGGCAGCATTACAAAAACAGTAAGATGGAAACCAAAGGGTAAAACAAGAAATTAACTGCATGATTCTTATTTCACTTACAACTCACAAGTTTCATACTGCACGTTAAAATACAATAGACTAGTTATCATTTAATATAATAACGCTAGTTCTAATTAAAACAAATTGCTAAAGTATTTACGTTATTATAAGCCATAGCGCTTATACTCAACATTTCTAGGTGAAAACTGCATCCATTTTGTCCATGCTGTAAGTTGCAAAAGTTTGTGAGATTTTCTGAATGTTTTTGCAGTACATAAACCTTTAAAGAAAAAAGTTAACAGTGCAAATACATGATATACTAACAAACAGTATTAAACTAACAGCTAAGAGTGTGTGAAATGCTATTTTGCACACAATGTTGATTTTGCATTGCCTTCTAAATTTAGTCATCAGTATAAGGTGTGAATTTGTTGTAATAAATAACTATACATCAGATAAAATGTACAGTTTGGGGGCATTTCACAAAAGTGTGCTAAATATCATTTTAATAAATCAGATATAAATGCAATACTAATGTAGCACACTGATATCACTTAAGTACAATATGCTTTACTACTAGACATGCAAAACATCTTGGGCGTTATTATAGTTAAACATGTCTAGCTGTCTTTTAATCAGGTGTCTGCTGTTTTGATTTTTCTTTCTGACATTAGTATCTACGTTTACCGGTCTAAGTTAGTTAGCTAAACACACAACAACCAACAAAGCAAAAAACCTCACTTACTCTATTTGCGCACCATGAGCCACAAGGGCACTTATGGAATCCATACTACCAGACCGTGCTGCTTTATGAATAGGAGTTTCACCAACATAATCCTGTAAAGACAAACTACATTTTGTCAAGCATAATCTTTCTAAAAACGAAAAATTTTCTTACATTATTCATTTTAATTAAGTAAGCAGATATATAAATGCAGCATTTATTAACCAGTAAATGCATCAGTACTTGATAATATTTTGAAATTTGCAGTAGGTTCTGAGGTACATTAGATACTTAGTAGGAAGTTATGGCCAGGGCGTCTAATTCATAAGATGAGCATTATCCAATAACCTGGTAATAAGTACAGTAATATTCTGCAAACCTGGTTAAAAATCAGCACATACTATAATAACAAGTTATACTAACACCACTATATTTCATTTCCTAGCACATTTGTTACGTAATACTTTGCATTGAGCAAGCCATCTTGCATTTAGAAGCAGTATGGTCCTGTTTGTGGGACTATACTGCTTCCAGATCTTGCCAACACACTGAAATAGTACTGTATTGCACCACAAATGAATACTCACCAGGTGAGGAATATCTATGCATACCTTCCCTGCAGTATAAGTACGACCCAGGGTTTCACAAGAAATATACAGGCTAGATCTCTCCTGAGGCATGTACGTTTGACCCCTTTGTCCTATGGAATTTTCTTTTTTGAGACTATCTTAATCCATTTACACTCCAGTAGTGTTAACTAGCACATCTAATCATTTAGCCTTTTCACAATATGTGCTAACGCACTGGGTAAAGCACATTGTTTTTCCGGCAACTACTCCCTATAAACTAGCTTCTCAGATAACAGGAAGAATCTACAGGAATTGTACAAATATAATCGATAAGCAGCAGGTGAATTTCATGTGTCACGATCTATAGACTGCAGATGAAATTCAGTATGTGCAACTAACCACCAGTACCAGGAGCCACACAGAAGAATCTGTAAGGGGATATGGCCTTGAAGTAACAAGTAACTGTTCAGTTGCCTGTAGTTGACGGAAAGACAACCGCTTTCCAATGAAGTTTGCGTAATTCCTCTTACTGCTTATTGCTCCTATTTATTATTTCCATTATTCATCTTAACTCAAAGTTACAGGAAGACAGATATGCTTAATGAAGGATACAGTTTTATAAACTACCATATATGGGAATTTATTTGACACTAATTTATCAAAAAAGATTTTCTTCATAAAACAGTTCGTTGCCCATCATAGAAACTGTCTTCAATTCACCATTTCATTATTCAGCTTCCATTATCATCTGCTGCTGATGAGGTTAAAGAGTGGAGAAAAAGAAGGGATTTGCCTCTTAACTTTGCTCATCATTAGTATTTATAATCCCACCCTAACTTAAAAGACAATTATTCAGTATTAGAGTTCAGTTTAGGGCCATTTATTTCAACTGGGCATGCATATGACAGATGATGAGAATCTTTACTAGCCCCATACACCTAGCATGTTGCTAGGTACGGTAGCTACGCTCTGCTAAAGCCTAGAGAACTGAATGAACTACTAAGTATTGTAGAGAAATGATGAGGAAGGAAAGGCTCTTCTTCCTTTACAAAAGAGCTCTTCATCAAGGCATCAGTTCAATAGGATTAACCTAACGTTCTAGCAGCTAATAATCATCCCAACATCGAGAAAAAGGTAACTACCTCAGAAGAGAATACATGCCTTAAGAAGGGCTTCCTTCAATCGCTGGCCTAGAAAAACCATTTCTCTGAAGCCAAGTAATTGAGAAAATACTTAGAGAATCACAGAATATGTGAATTTAGATTTTGATACCATTCTTCTTAATTACTGCACCTAGTTTTCAGTTATCACTAAT